TATTTATTTATTTTATTTAGTGTTCTGTCTGACGACATGTCCATATGAACAGGATCCTTCCATCATTTTCTCGGTCTGGGACCTGTTCATATACGTTCTTGGCGGATGATCCAGAAGTGGTTTGCCATTGCCTTCTTCTGTGTGTGAATGGAGTAATTGTTGGGATGCCACGGAGGAAAACTCCGTGTTGCCTAGACCACGGCCTTGCCCAACACAAGTTATACATTCTGGCACCGCCGGGAATCGAACCCGAGACCCCCAGGATTACAAGGCCAGCGGATAATTCAATCTCTAACCGTCTTCTACATCAAATTTACAAAGACCATGGACAATGTGCGACATTACACAAGTTTACTGGATCAAAAATTGCCACCACGTGACCGAAGAATTTGTATGTAACTCTTACAGGGCCCCTCCAGTTGATGGACCACAAAACCGGGCAACATGCCCCCCCCCCCCTCCTACTGTAACGTTCTGTATTTCAGTACCCTAGCCAAACAAAAGAAGTACGGGGAAAGGGCGATTTCATAACCACGCCCAGTCTGTGGATCTGGCCCCCTGGTGTTCAAACACGTGTTACAAAATGGGAGACTTTGGTAGCGCCGTCGCAGCGATTCATCAAGAGCGTTCCTCGACTTCAGTACGATGTAGACCCTCCCTGGGTCCACTTTTTATCTCCTGCCAGGCAACATATATTTGTGACGCTACAAACAGCGTCATGTACTAATCACTACGTTCCTCGTTATACAGAATGATTATTAATTGACTTCGAGCTCTATGTTATGAAATCCCGCACATCAGTTATTACGAAAACTTGCCTGAAACCATCACTCTAGATTCTTTCTTTCTTTCTTTCATCTTTTTCTCATCATTGTTCCACACATTTTATTTCTGAACGTGACTGTACTCAATTACAAATCTTTTTAAAAAGACTGTACGTACCAACAAATGGCTCTTTAAAGCGCTTTAAAGAACAACAGCACAAGAGACTTTAGAAAATTCGATTTCAATTAACATTTGTAATTCATAAAACCTTCCATCCCGAACCTGCTACATATCTAATCTACCCCGATTATTGTGGAGTGCCTTCTTTAAAGAAAATTTGTTGTTAATATTGTGTTGTTTACGCAGCCAACATGTGGAATGACGAGCGGGACCCGTCTTACCAGGTGTAACCACCAACGCATCCACCGGACGACTCAGGGAAGCCAAACAGCGGTGCAAAGCAATACAGGACAAGGCATCTTCTGGCCCAGATATTTCTCGACACCAAACTTTCATCTAAGGAACGACCGCGGAGGGTACCCGGAAAAGTGAACTGCGAGTGACAGTGTTAGATAAGACGACCCAGAACAAAACTGTGAATGCACTTTTTATAATGTTACTGAAATAAAATAATGTTGTGTGGTACAGAACAAGTGTTTCTCTGCAGATAACATGAGTGCTATATAAGACTTGAGGTTCTCACAGCGGTGAGTATGAAGATTTCTGTCTTCTGGGTTGTTGCGCTGTGTAGTCTGGTCGATGTTAACCAACGTTTCAGAGGTCATACTGCCTCCATCATCAGGGCGATGAGTATGAAGATTTCTGTCTTCTGGGTTGTTGCGCTGTGTAGTCTGGTCGATGTTAACCAACGTTTCAGAGGTCATACTGCCTCCATCATCAGGGCGATGAGTATGAAGATTTCTGTCTTCTGGGTTGTTGCGCTGTGTAGTCTGGTCGATGTTAACCAACGTTTCAGAGGTCCTACTGCCTCCGTCATCAGGGCGATCGCCCTGATGACGGAGGCAGTATGACCTCTGAAACATTGGTTAACATCGACCAGACTACACAGCGCAACAACCCAGAAGACGGAAATCTTCATGAGTGCTATAGAATAAATAGTTTAAAATTAAAATTTATTCTTTTGTATTGGTGGGCTTAATCGTCCAAACATTATCCCTCTTAAACTGTAATTTCAGATTCATTATGGTTTATTTTCACTCCGCCGCATATTTTTATAAGTTTGTAATCCTTTAAGTGCCAACCTCCGACAGCACCACAGGCTTACACGCAAAATAAGAGGAACCAATAACAAATTTGTTGAATTCTTTAGTGTTCAAGTTTGTATATACACCAAATTAAACTTCTTAGGGAACTTACATTTGTTTTCGTGTCACAAATGGCACAGATTACGGTAGGGGAGAGTCGGGGGGTATTAACGGACGCACGTCTTTCTGGAAAAATTCTAGCAGACAAAGACATGTTATCATCGCCTTGGCATTTAAGACCACTGTTTTCCTTACCACTCGCTGGAAGCGTCTGTTGACATCCTCTACAGTGTAAATAAAATGTTCGCTCTTGTCTTGTATTCGTTGTATACACCTTCCCTATCCAATAATTGCTTCCTAGTTACACTGATTTACAAACAAAATGTTAAAATATAATTACAGTCACAGTAACGTAAATAAATTTTGAAGGGACTTTTCTTTCGCCACGTGGTTCGGCTGGCGTCGGACACTTTTCATGGTGTGTGGTAATGAACGTCCACTAATTACATGTGATTAGCATATTTCTCATAATATGATGACGAAGGAAACAGTAGTGACTTCTCGAGCGTAGAAGACATTAAGAAGAGCCGGGATAGCTCAGTCAGTATAGTGACTAGCTACGGGCTGGACGACCGGGGTTCGATCCCCGACGGGGGCAGAGGATTCATTTCCTCTAGCCTCTGCGTCCAGACCGGCTCTGGGGCCCACCCAGCCTCCTCTACAATGGGTACCGGGGTCCTTTCCCGAAAGCCGGCCGGGGCGTGATGCTGACCACTCACCCCCATCTAGTGCCGAGGTCAAGGAAGAGAGGAGCTATACCTCCTCTCACCCCAAACGCCTACATGGCGTATAGTGGGACAAACTTTACTTTACTTTACTTTACTAGAAGACATTAAGAACGGGATGACGTCTGTCCGGAGGCTAAAATTAGTGTTAAGAATAAAAGCTCAAGTTTGATTCAAGACAGAATTTTTAAAATAACTAAAAGAAGCGATTATTCTACACTGGCACATTTCCAATAAACCAAGATTTGTTTTCGTTTACCTTAATTACTTGATTTCTCATTTGTCGGGAATTTCACGGACTAAAGAAGATTCCGGTTCCACAGAAGAAATGGGGGGACCCGAGGCTTTATGAAACAATGTCCGCACATAAGAGGTGTCCCTTGAATCCAGCAAGTGAGGCAGTGCGAAATCGTGGCGGTCATGTTTAAAAGATTTTGAAGGAAAAAAAAAATGCCTAACAGAAAATCTGAACGAAGTGAAATTCTGACGGAAACTTCTCGTAAAAATAAACAGTGGAGAAAAATTCTGACGGAAACTTCTCGTAAAAACAAACAGTGAGAGAGGAGAAATCATCAAAATTATTAGTACATGATTTATGGTAATGTTACACGTGCAATGGACAGACTTCTAGGTGCAATCTGACATTCTAGGAACATTGTGGGGAAAAAACGTGACTTATTTACAGTTTAAAATTTTTTGAGCAACTTATATTTGACTTTGCTCCCATTCTGTGGTACATTATTAATGCAGTAATTCTTTCGTTCTTTTACATTCAAAATACAAGAAAATCTGGAGAGAAAAACATCCCAAGTGTCCGCGGCTACCCGACTCTCTCTTACCATCGTTTATAAATACAAAAAAATCCTCATTTCAATTTATACTGACGTTTGTGACTTCAATGTAAACTAAATCAGCATTTTAAGGGTTATGACTTATTTCTCATTTACAGTTTTTTTTATCCTTGTCCAGATATTCTATTGGGGGGGGGGGTGTTAGAATGAGATAATCTCGATCAGCGAAAAACCTGGGTTAGACCCAAACTACAAGTGTACAAGAACCTGATATCAGGTTACGTCAACGAGAAATAATTATAATATTAACAATAAAATTTACGAGGCATATGAATGGCAAACGTAGAAATGGTAATTAAAATACATCAAAGGAAATCCAAAAGCACCCAATCCACGAAACCAGAGCATGAGAAATACGAAATATTACCTTCTCTATTACATCTGTCCACTGCCAGCGCCATCTGTGGCCCAAGAACACAGCTCAGTAATTTTATAACATTAGACGACGGACAGAGTCCATAAACTCGACACTCGAGGTTCTTTACCGTTGTTTATTACAGCTATGACTTTATTTATTAGCAAATATTTCATTTATAATGAACTTCCATCACAGACTTGTAACGACCCTCATCTGAATCACGTGTCATGCCTTCTTTTAATTCGAAAAGATCAAATTCTCGTAAATATGAGAACGAAAACATTCAAAGACAAATTGACAAATAAATTCGGCTAATTTTTGAAATCACTACAGTACTTCACTTCAGATTGGGGTATTAAAACCAAATGAATATATTGGTTTGTAACCATCTTAGTGTTTGATATAACGACGATACAATAATACGTAACAGAGTCCCCCTTGTGGTCTGAAAAACCAGCAACAATACTTTGTTCCTTCCAGTGGCTGTCGTGTTGGTATTATTGATAATAAAATGTTTAAACAGTCAGAATATGGTGTGGCTACACTGAAATTATGATATGCAAACGTACGGACTTGTGATACATTCATGTTTCAACTATACAAGTCATAGAGCGTCAAATGATCTTCATAAATGGTGAACATGCAAGGATTTTGAAGGAGAGGACCGCGTCATATTTCAAGGTATGAATATCCCAGCATTAGTCTCACATGACGGAGGAAAATCACGAGAAAGCATCGGGTACCTCGAGAAAAAGTGGTAAACAGAGAGTAAACGGTGTTTCACGACGACTGAATTCTGCAATGTTTCACCGTGTAGTCTCATCGCCCTGACGATGGAAACAGTACGCACCTCCGAAACGTTGGTCAAATTTTTACCAGACTACACGGTGCAACATTCCAGAAGATAGTCTTCACATTTTCCCCAGTGAGGACCAGAAATCTCATTCAATCACAAACACAAAGTTGTAATGTTTTACTCGAAAACTACCTCATAGCTACAAATTTAAAGACTGGGAACGACGCCATATACATCCCCCCCCTCCACACGAGTTGGCTAGTTGATTATATTTCTTTTTTATTATTTTGATAAAAAAAAGTGGTTTGATAACGTTAGCAAACCAGTGTGTATATATAAAACAGAATATATTTCATACAAACAACATTCATGCAATCCCCTGCACACAGATTTTGCTAAAATGCCATCATATCTAGCAGTGAAATGGTATCCATGTCATCAACAGGATCCACCGCCTACTTGAGACCCGGCTGCAATGTGTCTTCTTGCCCCCCCTCAGTCCCTTCCGCCGCTGAATTTATGTTTAATGGTCCTACCCCCGTGCAGCAATAAATTGTCTATGAAAACAGGGTGGATGGGGGTTGCGCGCTATCACAGACCGGGGCCCAGGCGCCCACATGCTGAGACAGGTCACACTATCGCAGCGATCCACATCGGGGTTCTAGGTCGCAGATAAACGCACATAATGTACGGAAACAACTTTCTATTTTAGTTAATTATTAGCAGAAGGAAAAAAAACACGAGGCATGATAACGTTTCTTGTCGTGGAAGGAAGTTTTACAACCGACGTTACCATAAATTTAATTAGACAAGTTCTGTTACAAGGTTAATATCACGTATTAATCACATAACATTATAATCATAATTAAATCCGGAAGAATGGCACATGTGAGACACGTAAGACGTTTCGTGGAAATTAAAAATACAACAGAATGCATGGTTTTAGATAAATACGAGTGACGTGAGTGCACAGACTGGATTAAACTGGCTAAGGACAGGGTCTAAGCGTGTGATTTCGTGAACACGGTAATACAACTTCGCTTTCGAAGACAAGGGAGAATATTCTTGGCCAGCTTAGTAACTAGCAAAGTAAAAGAACGACTAATTTAAGTGTTAGGACAAGTTGATATTTGAGACCCACAATAAAAAAAATTTGTTCATGGTGATATGAAGCCTGTACGATGATCAAAAAAATTTGTTCATGGTGATATGAAGCCTATATGATGATAAAGTTTTTGAGACTGGCGTAAACTTAAAAAAATTATCTTTCACAAATGCTCATGGTTCATACACTTAGCAGGAATTGAATTACAAGACATCTGTTCATTTGACAATCACTTTGGTTACCCCTGCTTACCTTTCAATTTCGATGCACAGGAAAGTAGAAACACGCTGTTCCTTCAGCCACAACACTTTAAGCACAATTTACTGTAACGATGATGCACACTTAAGTCATAACTGGATTAGAGTTGAGAGCATAAACCACAAATCGTTCATGAGACCTAGTTCGAACTTCGCGTCGCCACGATACAAGCCAGAACGTCTCTAAATCTGTAACATTTCAAGTGTAAATAACATCTGACCGCTCACCAATTAGCTTCCACGTCACCCATACAACCAGCGCCCTTCCGTTCTTCAACTGTTATTAGTTTGTCCCTCCACCGCTTAACTTCTTTTGTCTGTGCGCACACCTGCGTATACAA